AAAGATTTTTTACAGATACAAAAACAAAATACAACAAATTTCATACCTAAAACTATTTTGACTATTTCAAGCCGTTTAAAAGAAAATAAACAAATAATCTAACGGAAACGAAATAAATAACAAAACGCATTTTTAACCTACACTGTTAGAAAAAAGGGCGTTTTTCATAATAGCCCTACCCATTTTTCAACCAAACACATGTTTAACACTAAACTAATCAAATGAATTCAAGTAATCCCCAGTTAAAACCTGTTAAAATTATAATTCTTAAAAATTAGTTTCAGTTATACTACACAATTTTTAAATAAAACATTACGCTTTTCGAACAAAAAATACGCTTCAAAAAAATACCATAACTCAATAATTAATCAATACTTATAAATATGTTCGTAATAAGCATCTTATTGACATTAAAAGCATTTGTTCAAATTTATTACGTGAAATTTGAAATAAAAAAGTTACAGTTTATATTATACACTGGGCTCCCTTCTTCAGATGATAAGTAAACTCATTTGAGCTAGTTGTGCACCATAGTCCAAAGCCAAAAACATAACCTAGCTCTGTGGGCGTGGCTATCACTTCATTTTGACGTCAAATCGAAAACGTTTTAAATTTTATTAAAATATAGTAAAACATTCATAATCAGAAACGTGAGAAAGCGGGTCAGAATTGTGACGTTAAGAAAGGCGGTAAGAAGACTTAAGAAACGACAAACAAAAAGAAGGAAGTCTTACAGCAGCGGAAGCGACTCTTTTGAAGAAAATCACCAACGTAAATAGCAGAAAATTCAGTTCATCCAGTTTTAGTTCTTTGGCAGAAGAACCAGACATAGTATTTATTGATAAACAGAAGGATGCAGGTAGGTTAAAAATAAATTGTTTTAGATTACAAATTAAGAAATTCGAGAGGAACAATCAATATACTTTTTTGCACCAGTAAACTAATGGTAGAAGTGTATCCATCTGTCCAATCACGCTAGAGAGGCAGCCGATTCACGTGCAAATATTATTTGGAAGGATTCATGGCTTAACATATTGTATCGAGCCCAGTTCATGTTTTTAACAAATCCAGTGTGGATTAAATAGACTCAGTGCGAGTTTAGAACCCAGTGCGGATCTCAAGTTTAGCGTGGACACGAGAAATCTCTAAGGCAATGAAGATATTGTTTTTTTTATAGTGTTGTCAAACATCTAGAAAACTTTTATATAAAAGCTAAGAATATAATGTTTGGGTAATATTGGAAGATATTACTACGTTCAGTTACTTACATCCAACCTTTTGTGAATTGCAATTATTTACATTTTGTGGTTCTAATTCATTTCATTTAAATACTTAACATTTTGGACAATGGACTAAATATGAAAGAATACTGGTGGAGTTATACAAAGAGATGTAGTTGTCTCATGGCTAGACATCTTGGGTTCAGAACTAGATGTAGTTACCAATCACAGCTTGTTTCCATATATCCCTAAATTGCCCTTTCATGGCGTCACCCAAACTCAATCCAAAGACTAAGACAGCAGAGACCAAAACAGCTCTTAAAAGAGGTGACAAGATAAAGTCTTTACAGACCAAGTTAGGGCCAACTTGGTAAGGTTCTCACCTTAATTACTGGTTATGAGGAAGATGTTAAAGGGAAGCTGACAATTGCGCAACTACTAAGTGATGCGACACTCATTGGCAAAACTAGAAGAAATCTCATTAGAATTTAAAAGTGACCTCATGGAAGTAATAAGGGAGGCTAAGTAAGAAAATTATTTGGGAACAACTTAGGAGAGCGAAGCAAATCAGCTAAAGCCATGAAGCGTTCTGGTGATGATTTGAAGCCTAAGTCAATAGTATCACATAAGACTTTAAACTTCAAAAGTTCCTCCCGGACATTAAAAGTAGGTACTTATGTCCAGGGAGACACCAACAGAAACCTTGGGTAAAACCCTCAGCGACATCAACCCAAACAGAACCATTCACGCAACAGAGCTCGCCTTCTTAAGTGAAAGAAAGTGTACTAGCAGGGAATTTAAGTAAACCCTACATATTTTGACAATTAAAGGTCACATTACTCCTTAAATTTTATCTCTCTGTCCATCCAACATATAATTCCTACAGAACATGTCAGATCTTTAATTGAGCCTCAGCAGATCTTATCAGAAATAAATCATCTACTTGAGATTAAGACCATCCGCTCTTATAAGCCACATAAGGAAGAATTTATATCCAATATTTTCTTGGTAAAGAAGTCAAATAGAAAGTATATACCAGACAGGGAAGCGTGTATGGAAGGACCTATTCACGCAGAAATCACCTGGTATACAGACGGCTCCAGAACACATGAAGGTTCAGGAGTAGGTATACATAGTACTAAGCTAAAGACAAGAATCTCACTGAGCTTAGGTAAATATGCGACAGTATTCTAGGTAGAAATAGCAGCAATCCACCACTACGCAAGAGAAGTAATAAGACAAGGTAAATGGAAAAACCATTGTCATATATTCAGAGAGTTAAGAGATGTTAAAAGCACTCAGTTCAAGTATACTCAAAGCTTGTGCGGAACTTTCCTAACAGAGCTGGGTAGTCAAAACAGACTAACCTTATTGTAGGGACCAGGCCATAGAAGACATAACGGCAACAAAGAAGCTGATTAACTAGCCCGAGGAGCCTCACAGGCTCTTATTGGTCCAGAACCCTTCTGCGGTGTCACAAAGACAGCTATCAGAACATGCACAAAGCAGTGGATGCTTATAAAATCTCAGGAATGGTGGACAAATTTACCAAGACAAAGACAGACCAAAGAGTTCTTAAAATGACCGTCGCCTAAAGTCACCGAGCATATACTAAGCCATAATAGGAAAAATACCAGAGTACTAGTAGGTCTATTAACATTGCCACTGTAGGCTTAAGAAATATATGTATAATATTGGTCTGACAGAAGAGACCGTATGCCGATTCTGCCAGGAAAAGAAGGAAACAACAGAACACGTATTGCGCTACTGCGAAGATCCATCAAGAATGAGATTTCTTACACTTGGAGAAGAAAAACCAAGGGCAACTAGCTACACCGAAGAACTACTTCCTAGTCTATGGAGTCTACTACAAAAGACCGAAGTAGATAAGGTACTTTAAACAACGATTAAAGGGTATTCATAATAGATTCGATAAAATCGAGGTGGGGGAGGCCACATGGCTCACAATCCTAATTAAATTTAATCTAATCTATTGTAACATAATTTGTGGTTCCTAAGTTTTTACCAAAATTATAAAGCCTGTGATATCCACTCTTAGAGCTAAAGGGAAAAAATACTATAAACGAAATATTAAAGAGACTTACATTTTCTCCATAAGTAAAAAAGTAAAGCTTTAAATAAAGCATGAATTAATAAATTTAACATTAGGGTTTATAATTAAGAGGAAGAAAAGTGACCTCTGTCCCTCCTCTAGCTGTAATTTTTAATTTTAATTCGAAGAAAAAAGGATGAAGATCTTAGGTTTGTTCAAAATAATAAAGTGTATTTTAAATGATAAGTGCATGAGGTTTGTCTCAACCATTATACTTTCACATAAGATTGGTCAGATTATAATAACTTCTGCAGTTTTCTGCCAGTAATACAGAAAATTATAAATTAACATGCCTCAGGTGTGGCAGTAGTGCCCTTTTGGACTACCAAACTTTGGTGGCACCTATTTACGAGCGTTTTGAGTTCAGAACTGATTAAATTCGACCCTGGTCCTTTCTTTTATTATCTGTCGACAGGACTCCACACCCTTTGACGAGTATCCTTTCCCTAGTGGCAGGATTTAATCCAACTGGCGTTTACCCCAATACCACTGAGGTTATACTGTCATATATTTCAATATCTACCTTAAAACAGTATATGGTGGGGTTGAAACTTTGATGGAAATTTTGTGTCAGAGAGAACAGACCCCTTCACTGTTGATATCTTAAAGGTCTTTTAAATTTATGCAAGGAGGGTTCAACATACGGGTCACGTAATAACTATAGGTCAGTACTTTCTTTTATTTTGTAACTGGACATTGCTGTGGATTTTAGGGTCAAAAGGTTTGTTTAAAGGCGTAATTGACCTAAGACCTTCTCGGCCAAGGTATGACTCAATTTGGAACTCATTAACAGTACTGAACACCGTCTGGGATTGGTGTTCCAATAATGATATAGAATTATCAGAAAAATTAGTGACATGATTAGCATTTTTACTGATTATAGAATGCAAATCTTTAGCCTTATTAAATTAGAGAATATTTGTAGAACTGATAGGATCAAGTAATCAGGAAGAAGCAGATTCCAACCGTGTCTAACTCTCTCTTTCAGACCATAAGTTGTTGGGTATAACCGCTCTATAAAACAGGAACCCTCCTCTTGTACAGATGCCATTTCTAATTTGTTTTTTACACTTGTAAACATTTTCATAAAAGTTTATTGAAAATTGCCTCGCTTCTTGTAGTCGCAATTGTCTTTAAATATCTATGTTTACTGATCATCTGAAGAAGGCAGCGCAGTGTAATTATGGGATCAAACGAACTTACCTTAAGTGAAGTTCTATATTGATTATACACTGCGCTTCCTTCGAAGATGATTTATTCCAACCCAACCCTCTGAATCCCAGATCATCGCAGTTGCGATAAAGCTTTGAGAAAGTGATAGCCACGCACGTAGAATGCGGGAATAACATAGAGAATTAGGTTATAAGTTTTTTTCTTTCAACTATGTTGCACAACTAGCTCATAAATGAGTACTTCAAAGGGATCGCAATGTCTTGAGACCGAACTTCACGTAAGGTAAATTCGTTTGATTTTATAATTTTATTATGGTCACAGAGCTAGGATAAATTGAGGTAGCATCATAGAGAGAAGTAAAATGAAAATATTTACATTAGGACTAAAATAATGATTTTATGTTTATGAAATAACATATTTTAAACACTTTATGGCATTAGCCTTTTTTTAAATCGATAAAAGACCTGTTATATAAAAAAACAAACAGGTTAAAACTCGGCAATATATTAGAGAGACATCAGCTTAACATTGAATATGTAGTCTGCCTCTTTCTTAAGATCCCTCTATGTATCCTAGGTCTATGATTGTGACGTTTGTGTTTGCATTATAGTAATTTTACTTTTGAGCGTGTACCAGTTGGTAATGAAATACACTGTTGCCAAGTTGGGTCGTATATTTCTTTCGATTAATAGACTGCCTAAATCATGACGTCACAAGTGGAAAGAGTTAATGCTTTCCAAACAAATTGTAACTATATAACTAAAACTGGGAATGGTGTGTATATACTAAACATGAAGTGAAGGATGATTCGAACACATCAATGTATAAAAATTATTTTTTGATTACGCTGAGTACTCTCGGCTTTACAAATTTACAGTAAAACGACTAACAATAAATTACCAGTTATAAAAGTAATGTTAAAAAATCAACTCCAAATATGAAGAGTTTGATGATTTTCTCATGGATCCCATCATCAGATCCTGACCAACTTAATATGGGACCACCCCCCAAGGTAACCCCTTTCTAACAAAAAAGAATCTTAGAAATCGGAAAACGTGGTAAAGAATTATCGCTGAAAATACACAAAAAAAATATTTTGACACATTGAGAAGACATTGAAGTCGGTTAAAAAGTTACCACAACGGGAAGTATTGAATGAAGACATATTAAGAAAATGACACCGGGCAATTGAGACAAAATGACTGGACCGACCTTTAATGGTTTCTGGAGTTAATCGAATAATCGACAATGGTTCTATTCGGATAAAATTTCTATAGAATCTAATCACGCCAAAAGAAAGCAGTTTGATGTCAAATTAATGATTAGGAAACGAAACATTTTGGTTGAATTTGATATTATTAAATTTCGCTTGCTTGAAATATTATGAGAATTAACTAAGCCTGCTTGAAAAGTTTAGAACTTGCTTCTGGAAAAAACCTACTAAATAAATCTGGAGATGGCACCTCTGTATCTGTCATACATTTCACAATATTATGGCAACAGTGTATTTTTAGTCTTATTTTTAGTAAAATCACTAACTATTTTTAATTTGTATCCTAGGAGCGATTTTTCTAAATGACCGCTTAATTTTAGTCTTGGTCTGATTTTCAGTTTCAACTTCTTGAGAAGTCAACGTCTCAACATCATCTTCTGGATCTGCAGCTGTGGGTACTATCAAAGTATTTGGTATAATTTGAATTACCAATGGCATTTGTATTGGTGATGTGATTTTTGATTCTGGATTCGATGTTCGTGATGTTTCTAGTGTTGTCGCCATTAACGATATTGAACCTAAACAAAAACAATTTTTTTTTCGAACCTTTGTAGCTTTCTAGGTTTTGTCGTAACAGGTTCAAAAACCGAGCAAATGGTATTTTTTGCATAGGGTTGTATGTTCATAATAGGGTTGTGCAGAATATAAACAACTTTTTTCTACTCTCCACTCGTTACTTGTTTAAATAGAAGCAATAACTTTTTGAGTTCAATATTTGATGTGAAATTTTAGGCAAGAATTATTAAGGTGAGTGTTCTTGTGGAATTACTTATTCCGCCACCCTAAAATTTTGACTAAGTTTGATGTTTTATAACTTTTTTATGTTTTATCCTATTTTTATGAATTTTCCACCAGTTTGTAGATAGATTTATTGTGATTTTTAAATTATTGCAATAAATAACATTTTTCATTTAGGCAATATTATACAGGGGTAAATCAAAATGTTGTTTTTTTTTGTCGCATCTTCAAAACGCCTTGTAGCAAAATTGAGGCGGATAATTTTGTTTACATACTGTTTGCTGTAATCCCACAAGTTAAGCTATCTTTGTTGTTTTTACAGTCTCAGCAGTTAAACAATCACACATTATTAAAAGTTTATTTAACATGATACCTACCTTGGTGAATGAATGTTGAGATCATACCTAATTCAAATAGTTTTATTGGCATGATATTTTATATTTATGCTAAATACAGTAGAGTTAAGGGTTAATTTAAAAAAAATCCTTTCTTAGTGGGTGCTTATGTCCTGAACTAATTAAACATTCCAAATTGTAAGATTCTAGCTATTACGGTTGGGGCTGGGAGTTGATAAATAAGTCAGTCAGTATTTCTTACACTTGTCTTTATATAGATGGATAAGCAAGTGAATAAGGTTCAAAACTATTAATAGGCATTGAAATCCAATAATATAGCAGCTATTGTTGTATTTTCACAATACATTTTCTTATTGCTCTTAATTTCAACAAATTTATAAAAAAAAAATGGTGCTATTTTCAGATACAATTTCAAAAACTCCTGTTACAATTCTAGACAATTCTAAATAATTCCACATACAATTCCTGTGAAAATTTCAACAATTCCATGATGTTGTAACCCATAATTCCTCCATGGTTTACCCCTCACTATAGGACGTTGATTTACTTACGATTCTCATACAAAAATGCCAAATTTTCTTGTAAAGTACCCTATATTATCTGGACAAACCATGTATTAGAAGAATGAAAAAAATAGGAGTAATCTAAATCTAAAATAATAAACTGGTGTTCTGGTTAAAAAAAAAACATATGATTGAGTCATGCAACACCCTGTATACCTCTATGTAATTTTAAAATGTGGCCCTCAAGCCACCCCGTATATTTTGTTAATATATTTTTTTAATATCTTTTACAACAAGGAAAATATCAAACTTTTGCATAATATTGCTATATTTTTTTTTAAACCGTGTCTATTCATCGGGGCGCTCTTTCCCATGGGACAATATACTATTCATCGGAACTTGCTTGGGCGTGCTTATATTCAGCCCCGAAACATGTAATTCTGTTCTAAACATCAGACCTCCTTTGTCATATTATTTTGCAAATAACTATCCTTAATATAATACCATCATTTTTATCCATCTTCAAATTGATGTCATAGTTAACCATAATGGAAAACTTTATGAGATCATACGAGGAAGTGAATTTATTTATTAAAAATTCGAAGCAGAAAACTTTGTGCAAGCGAATTGTGTTCTCACAAAAGCTCTGGGACAAATCAGTTAAAGAAAAGTAAAAAATGGAATGGAAACAGTTAATAAAGATTTTGCTACAAAATTATATATAAATATTCAAGGGCTCAGAAAATTAAAACAAGTTCGGATAAATATACATATATTTAATAAACAAGTGTACAAGGTTAAAAAGAAAAATATAATAAACTTTTCACAAAAGGGAATTTTAAACAAAAATAATGACGCCCAGTTAATTTTTGCAATTTTCATAACAATTATTGTTTTGAATAAGGCAACTAAAAATACAACTTTTTCTCAGCAAAAGAATTGAAATCCAAACTTTGTACGTTTTTGAAGCAAGTAAAAATACAACTTAAAACAAAACCAAAGCGAAATAAAAAAACAACATATAAAAGTTGTGTTTTTAGTTGTTTTGTTCAAAATAATCATAAAAATTGCAAAAATCTAATAGACGTTATTATATTTGTGTAAAATTCCAAACAACCTGGCCCATGGGAACGCTTCTTTAATTTCTAGATCAACTCTAATGTATCTAAAATTATGTGGAAACTAAAAATTTTAATGAAATCGGCCAAAGTCTTTTTTTGATAGTAGGTAATAAAAACCAATTTAAAAAAAATAACTTAAATATTTTGGCCCAAGGAATATCACCTTAAATTTATGTCTTAGGTTTAAAAAACACTATGTATAGGTACTTCATCAGTACCAGTGCATTACTGAGACCCCATAGATAGGAGGCCTCAGTAAAATCACTTCCTCATACCATTGGAATGTAGATCCCACTAAGTTTATTTTGTTATGTCTTTATTTGACAAATGTAAAACATTTGCCCAAAAGAAGGCGAAGATTAGCTAGCAAGCTACTCTTTAACTCTTAACCTTCTTTGGTAACAGTCTAAATATAAATACATATTCAAAACATATTAAAAAACAATCAGAAGAAAACAACATTCTTTAAACAAAAACATTTATAATAAAATATAATCAAAGAGAAGGAAAACAATAATATTATTGAGTACTGAGTAGGTTGTCTTTTATGTTTAGCTTAAAATTATTTAGAGAGGCATTCCAATTTAAGTGGTAAAACCATGTAATTTAGCAGCATTATATGAAAAAGATCTTTCAAACATACAAGAATAGTGCTGAGGCATTGTAAGAGTATTATGCCTAATATTTCGATCATGAACTGAATTTCTAAATATCAATTTTTCAAACAGATAAATGGGGGTTTTCGTTTTTAACAATCTATATAAAAAGGTAATAAAGTTCAACTGAAATAAATTTTCAAGTTTTAACCACTTAAGTTGTGTGAAATAGGCAGATATGTGATCAAAACTTCCTCAAATTGTAAATAAACCTGCAGCAGCCATTTTGGATACCTTGCAACTGCTTCCTGGATGCTTGATCTAGACATGGATAATAAATGAGTAAACAATAATTCAAGCGTGATAATACTAAGGATTCGATGAGTTTTTTGCGCATTTTAAAATTGAGAATGTGTTTGTTCACATACAGCAACCGCAATTTTATGTAACATGACTGAATCAAATTTTTTATATGGCTTTTAAATCTAAGAGACTTGTCAACCATCAAGAATAAAATTTTGGCTTCATTTGATATGTTTAGCTTAACTTCATCTAATTCAAGTTTCAATAAACATTCAGTATTAATATATTAATTTTTATTACAAAAAAGAACTGCCGTCGTTTTGGTAGGATTTAAAGATAAATTATGTTCTTTAGAATATTGAGAGATTAATTTTAAGTCCTGATTGATATTAATATTTGAGTCCGTGGTGTTTGAAGTTAGAAAATAATGTAAGAGCTGGGTATCATCAGCATAAAGTTGTATTTGACTGTTTTTTGGGACCTTAGGCAAGTCAGACGTGTATACAAGAAAAAGTAAGGGACCCAAAATGAACCCTTGAGGAACACCTGAGATAATGGCTTTAGAGATGGATAGTTTTCCATCAGTGCGTACACACTGTGAATGTTTCTAAAGATACGACTTAAGAAAAGATAAAACAAGGTCATTGCATCCATAATAGTAATTAATATAACAGCTAGTTTTTTTCAAGAGCACTAATGACATTATCGGTAAGGTTTAACATAGCTGTGCTGGTGCTATGGGCTTTTCTAAAACCAGATTGCTCAATAGGAAGGATTGAATTTACTGTTAGATAATCATATAACTGATTAAATACAACTCTCTCAAGGATTTTAGAGATTACAAATAATAAGCTAATGGGTCTAAAATCTTGGAACTGTTTAGGATTGGATTTTTTGGGAATGGGACAGACTATGGATTCACGCCAGGCCTTTGGAAAGTAACCACTTTGTAAACAACAGTCAATTATATGAGTTATATGGTCAAGAATTGTAGGTAAGCATAACTTTAACATATGGAGTGAGATACCATCATTACCACTAGCATTGGATTTTATCAAATTTATGGCATGGAGAATCGTGCTCTGATTAACTAGAGAGAATTTAAAACTATGATTATTTTCAACTAGAGGTGGGAAGTTCGAATCTTTTTACTGAATTAATTCATTTGATTCATTCACCTAAAAAGATTCGTTCTTCAAGATTCGTTCTCAAGTGATTCACTTTAGCGAACCACGAACGATGTTATTCCGCCGATCCGGCGAAGGAAATCGAACCGAACTTTTACGAATTTGAGTACTACCTAACCTACCTACTAGGTCGTTGAGTAAAATAATTATAACCAGATTTATTTTAAAGTAAAGCAAATTAATGTTTCATATTTCATAAAAAAAAGGCAGCTGAATAATAAATACATCCTTGTCCGTTAAGATAAACAACAATAACACAATTTTTTTTAAATGCCAAATATATAGCCAAAATTAACGCAAAATTATATATTCACGATTCGTCATTTTTTGTTTTAATTTTACTTTGATTTAAATTTATTTATCAGACAACACGCATAAATTGTTTACCTAAGCTTAATACACACCTCCTGTAAAGTGAGAAAAACATTAAAGACACATACCGCCACCGCCTGTCAGTTAGAGTTCTCGTATTATGCCTTAGAACGTAGAACAAAAGCGACCAATTTGCCGATGCCGATGTAAAATACCAAATACCGAATCCGAATCGAATGAACGAAGCAACCAAACTCGGAACTCGGCGTGTTTGATCGATCGCAGAGCCATCGAGCAATTGACTCAAAAAAGATTCGAATCTTTTAAAAACAGGGAATCAATTCATTCGAGTCAGTGCACTGATTCGTTCTTTTTGAACGAATCGTTCGCGAACGACACACCTCTATTTTCAACACTATTATTTGAATAGAAATTTATTTTATCACTGCAATTGTGTTTTTTTGAAAACACTACCAAAGTAGTCATTTAGGTATTTCATCTGGATTGCTTAAAAGCAAGGGTAACTCTGTATTGCAACTTGATGATTGAATGTTTAAATTTCTAAAACCTCACCATAAAAGTTTTTAATTTTTGTCATTTTGTAAATTAAATAAATATGCTGCTTTTTCTCTCCTAATTAAAGCGAGTGCATAATTTCTGCATTCCTTATAGCGACTCCAGTTTTCCAGTGTTTTGGCAGATCGGAAATTAGTTAACGCTTCATCCCTTTCTTTTTTTTTTTTTTTTTTTGGTTTCATCGGCGTCGACTACTACGGCCATTAGCCTCGTGTTCTGTGTAGGCTTTGTTACTGTTTCCCAGCGCCACTTTAGGAACAGCATTGTTAATTAGAACCCAACAGTGAATGGTCAAGTGGGGAAACCTACCAAGGCATCAGAATTAATTTTAAATAATTAAATTAAATGAAAAAATCCCGGCCAACGGTGGGAATCGAACCTGAGACCTTCCGATCTCAAAGTCATGACTCTAACCACTGAGCCAACCCACTCCCCCCCTTTCTTTTAGTATTAATTTTAGAGTATCTGTAAGCCAAGGTGTATTGCTAAGTCTAATAGTTCTATAGGGAGCATATTTATTGAATATATGGTTTATATTATCTGTAAAAAATTTAACCAGCGAATTGCAACTAAATCTGCTTTGAAATCAGTATTTTTAAAAAATTTAAAATTACGAATGGTAATAAGTTAGTTTTGGTTTGGGAACTAAAATGTTTATTGTACAATGAGGCATTTTATTATCCTTATGGTTATCTAACATCTATTAAAATGATGGTAAAGAGTAAGTATTGTTTTAAGGTTAATTATTTGCAAAATAATATGACTAAAGCAGACTGATATTTAAAACAGAATTAGGTACTTATATTCTTCGAGGCGGATAAAAAGCTCATGGTCTTAAAATGCACCATTAAAGGTTTTTAAATTAAGTAAGAACTGAAAGTGGAAATATTGTAAGCCAGATACCTATGTTAAAAAGTAAAAATCTCGAAAATGAAAGTAAAATAAAATAAAAAAGCATCTACTTACCGCTATCCCTTGCATTTTCTTTACATTTATCATGCTCCAACCTCAAAGCCACTAATTCAAACTTCAGTCTCTTATTCTCTTCTCTCAGAGATGCGATTTCTTGCTCCATCTCCTTCCACACCTGCTTCTTCTTTTTCCTACATCTAATCTGAGCAGCCCTATTCATTTCCCTTACAATTTCTGTTCTAGTTGACTTTGATATATTTTCATTGTTGTTTCTTTCGCCTCTCAAATCGTGTAAAGGAACAACTTTGATCAGAGGCATTTTTTTGTTTAGCAAATTTTCTTTGATTTGTTTCTTAATATTCCGATTTTTTTCTTCATTCTGCACGGTTTTCTCGTCTGAACTGTTTTCCAAGTCGATTACCATCATGGAATCGTTTGAATCAGAATTGTTCGTTGTAAAATCGAAGGGTTCACAGTCACTATCGTTTTTGTTATTCACTGTGGGAGTTTTTAAATGATTGTCAGTAATATGCGGTAAAATATGTGGAGTGTGTAAGGTATCATTAGAATTATTTGACTGGAATTCAATTGTAACGCCGTTTTTAGCCAGATCCGCGGCTTTTTTAAATATCTCATCGAAGGGATTCACGTTTTGCAAGTCCTGGAAAAGTCCAACTTCCTCGCAATTTCTGATAAATCTTGTCGGTGTAGGAGTTTGGTCTGCAATTTCGTTGTTGTTTTTGCTGCTCAGATTCAGCATCAATTCGTGCTTTTTATTGTGCCATTCTAGGTGGTCTTTATTGGTAAATGTCATGTCGCAGCCCTTCGCCGTACAAGCGAATGGTTTTTCATGAGGCTCTGGAGATTTTTGCACAATCATATTGTAAACAAAACAGTTAAAATATATGTATCTAAATGTGAAATTCTGAACTTAAAACGTGATGTATGCTTTTTAGATATGTGTATAGAACAAATATGTATGTACTTTTTTTAAATGTTTGTGATAATATACTTGTTCTTTAAAAATTAAAACACAACATATCACTGCACTAAACCCAACTTTCTCATCTTTTTTTATTTTACAAAGACCTTCGACAAGTAGACTAGAAATTAGACTAAAAATTGTATGTATCTGTGTCTGAATCGAATGTATTGTATATTGCCTAACTAGTAGGTATAAAAAGTACCTACAGTAGGTGCGTTCGGGATTATACATTACCTTTTCCATGGTGAGGAGCTGGAGCGGGACAGAAGCAGAGTTTTTAGGATGATTCAATGAAGTGGAGAGGGGTAGAATGATAACTGTCAATGAAAAAGTCTGGACACTACATGCACAATTTCGTTTTGCACATTTTGTAAACAAAATTCAGGGACGGTTTAACAACATTTTGTGCAACAATTATAAAGTAGTGCATCGAAAAATAATTAACAAGTATAATTTAATACTAAATCGGAATAAAAGCATAAAAAATCATAAATATAAGCAAAATAACAAAGAATTGACGCCAAAAAAGCTTACAACAGCCAAAACACAAACAAAAAACAGAGCTGAACATGAACATAATCGCTGAATAAAGTCGATCCTGGAATTTGTTTAAAGTGATTTAGGGCAACCTCTCCTTGTCATTTACGTGTGTAAGAGTGGAAGGCTGAATCACGCATAATTTCTACACTCGTGATGGATGCGCAGACGGTACCTTATCGTTCTACCCTCTCTACTTCTTTGGGATGCTTTTAAATGACATTTAAGGGTTAAGTGTGTTGAACTGTCACTAATCCACTCACTAATAGGAATAAACCGAACGCTTAACGGGAGTTGGGGCCGATTTCACCTTTGTGTTAAACGAAGTTTAAATTACTAAAAAATTACATTGTTAATGTGTCATCTTAATCACGATGTTTGTTATTTGTTATTCGTTTCTCTTTTGTTATCTTTGGTAGTATCGCAACTCCCTATATATGTTGTGGTTTGCTAATCTGTCAAGTAAACGTATGTGTAACTTTGCTCAGACGACAAAATCGACCCTTGGTAATATGCCTCTACTGCTTATTGATTAGTAAAAGTTTCTTGATTAATAATGACGAATTGAGAACCTCCTCCTTTTTTGAAGTCGGTTAATAATAGCATAAAATAAGGCAGTCATTAATAATCAATAAGGTGGAATGGCATTTTAGTACAAAAGTAAGATAAGAAAACAACAATCATGGTGCCTTCCTATAACACATCTACCATCTACTTTCTCAAGGTCTTTGTCTTTGGAACATCTAATGAAAATTTCATCTTCTTTTTTATTGATTAGTTTGAGCTTGTCACACTGGACTAGGCAGCCGTCTACAGTGAGAGGTTGTTATTTTATTTTAAATTAACGGTTTTTAAATAATTTTTCCATTTTCTTTTTGTGTTGCTGAACTTTGAACTTTTACCTACACATATTCTTACAAAGGAAAAAAAGGTGTTTCTTTAAATTTTGTCTTTGTTAAACAGGGCCGCGCCGACTATAGGTGAGTTCGGGCTGCGCACTCCAGAGTGGAGTGTAGTAATTAGGCGTAAACGGAGTGCGAATATGAATTTACTCCTTTAACTCTCGGAGTGCAATGTCAATTGTCAATGTGACATACCAGTACTTAAAATTTAATTGTACTTGTCAGTAACGACCGTATAAGTTTCTTCCATATTAATGATATTCACAAGAACCAAAAAAAAATTTATTTACTAAAGAATCACTCACAATTAACTTATTATCAATTTAAATCACCTTATGCGCATGCCCGATCCACACTCCACTCCACCATCTCCGAACGGTCAAAGAGGAACTTTTATTTTAACTCCTTCCGTACCCGAACGCCTTAGGTACTTTAGGAGTGAATATAGTGAAAAGAGTGCGCAGACCGAACTCACCATATGTGGCGAGTGTGGGCAAAAGCCACAGGCGGCCAAGTCAAAGGGCGGCAAAACACCTAGGCAGATCGTCTCTCTAACGCTCGTTACACATGAGGCGCAGAAGTCTATAGCTATAGATTGAAATGAAAGCTTACACACAGGGCGGCGCGGCATTCCTGCCACCATGTGTGAAAACTTCCATTTGAATCTATAGACTACTGCTAAAACGACGGCGACGGCAGTTTCGCCGACGCGAAATAAGCGCCCAATGTGTAACGAGCGTTACGCCGCAAAGCCACCGCTCAAAATGATAATTGATTTACGACACCGACGTTTTTCTTTGTCGGTACTTGATGCTTTGTCGGTACTTGATGCTGAAACAAACGGACTAAGAGAATAAGTAGGGAGACTTATTTATTTTTAATTTTTTCGCTCTATAAAGGATAAAAAAATAATTTGTCGGAAACCGCTCAAAAACGAAAATGAGTATAAATTTGTGTAGAGTTTGTAGAAAGGGTCATTTCAATTTTCCATTTAGTTAGTGAGTGTATAAAGGTTAATAATTGTGATTTAATTTTTTAATTGTCAAAATGGTAAGTAACTATCAAACTATTTATACTACAACAACTGTGACAACACTAAATTGAATTTGATTTGAATATGAAATTTTTTATTTAAGGACAGAAAAAGAAAACGACTATCAGGTCACCACTATCGCCAACAAAGAAAGGTCACCACTATCGCCAACAAAGAAAGAAGCAAATGAAAGCGAAGGAAAAATTAACTGATTCTTTAAAAAAATATTTGAAGCCATCAGAAACACAAGTAACAAGTGTTTTTTTTGAGGTTGAGAATACCGGCAATGATGCTCGCCCTAGTTGTTCCTCAAATACCTTATTTTTAAGATTTTTAACCGAAAAAGGACCCCGTCAAGTAACGGACTGGATTTATCCGGTAGATTCACACGGCCGAAAATTTACTCCTAGCAATTTTTATCGGAACCTCGCCAATGGAGAGAAAGTTAAAAGAGAGTGGCTTATGTACTCTACATCAAAAGATGCGGTTTACTGTTTCTGCTGTAAACTTTTTGGTAAGTCTTTAACTAACTTGTCGAATAGGGAAGGATGTTCTGATTGGAAACATTTGTCAATAGCACTAAGCAGACATGAAAAGAGTAACCTTCATAAAAGCAATATCGGAACTTGGTCAAATTTGTCAACTATACTATCTAAGGGAGTTGCTATTAATCAGAGTCAATTACGTTTATTGGATGTAGAAAAAAAATACTGGTATCGTATCATTGAAAGAATAATTTCAGCAATACAGTTTTTATGTCGTCAATGTCTAGCTTTACGTGGTTCATCTAGCAAATTGTATGAAAATAATAATGGAAATGTCTTAAAATTAATAGAAACGTTATCAAAATTTGATTCTGTAATGGAGGAGCATGTTCGTCGCACACATAAAAATCAAAGCAGTGATATCATATCGAGAAATTATTTAGGTGATAAAATTCAAAATGAATTGATCGATTTAATCGGTTTAAAAGTTAAAAATACTATTTTAGATCTGGTAAGAAAATATAAATATTATTCTATATTCTCGACTGTACACCAGATGTGAGTCATACGGAACAATTAAGTGTCATTTTGAGGTTTGTTTTATTAAATGAGTTAACGAAAAAAATCGAAATACGTGAACATTTCATTGAGTTTTGTCCTATTACTGATTCTACTGGTGCCGGTTTATGTAACTATGTTACAGATTTGTTACTAAAATTGAATTTAAGTATACACGATTTGCGCGGTCAAGGATATACGACAATGGCGCAAATATGCGCGAATACATAGTGGCTTACAAACTCGAATCTTAAATATAAACCCCCGAGCATATTTTGTTCCTTGTTCAGCGCACTCATTAAATTTAGTTGTTAATGATGCTGCTAAAATTTCTTTTGAAGTATCGGGTTTCTTTGATATTGTTCAAGAAATTTATGTATTTTTTTCTGCGTCGACAAAAAGATGGTCAGTTTTAAAAACGTGCATTTTAGATTTAACGTTAAAACCTCTATCTGATACACGCTGGTCCAGTAGAATAGACGCTATCAAACCTTTGAGATATCAGATTGGGCAAGTTTATGTTGCTCTTTTAAAAGTAATGGAAGCGTCCGCGTCTTCAAAAGATTTTAGCGCATCGCACCTAGCTCGATCGTTGGCAACAAAAATTCAGAATTACAATTTTTTATGCTCTGTTATAATTTGGTATAATACATTATTTAAAATTAATTCTCTTAGTAAATTAATGCAGAATAAAAGTATAAATCTTAAAGTTTGTTTAGACTGCCTAAACAAAATTAAAACATATTTAACAGACTTAAGAAGCGATAAAGGATTTAATGAAATTCTTGTCGACGCCAGAGAACTGGCCGAAGAATTAGAAATCGAGCCTAATTTTGCGTCGATACAAACTGTTCGGCTAAGAAAAAAGAAAAAACAGTTTGATTATGAAAGTAACGACGAACCAATAATCGACCCTAAAATTAATTACAAAGTGAACGTATTTTTTTCTATACTAGATACAACCTTATCATCTCTTGATGAAAGGTTTAAGGAATTGAAGCGATTCAATAATATTTTTGGGTTTATTTATAAAATGTTCCGCTTGACTCAAGAAGAATTAAGGATATCTTGTGAAAATTTATCGTTTCATTTGAAAGACGAATCACGTAAAGAATCAGATATTGACGCAAATGACTTATTTGATGAAATTAATTGTTTAAAATGTCACATGCCAGAGTCCACAGGGGAAAACGATTTAGACCCCCAAGTAATTCTTCAATATATTTTAGAAAATCAGTTAATTTCGACTTTTCCAAATATTGCAGTGACTATTCGAATTTTTTTAACGCTACCGGTATCCGTAGCATCAGGGGAAAGGTCCTTTTCAAAACTTAAATTGATAAAAACATATTTAAGGTCCAGTATGGCACAAGAAAGACTTAGCTATTTAGCAATTATGTCCATAGAAAGTGAAATTATGGATTCTATTTCCCTCGACGAGTTAATTAAAGATTTCGCCGAAAAAAAGGCAAGAAAAGAATGTTTTCAATAATTTATTTTATTATGTTTTCCTTGTTAACAGAATTATTATAGAAATTTTTTATTTGTTTTGGTACTTTCTGGGATTTTTATTTTTTTTTAATTTTTTCTTTTTCTGCTTTGATAATAGATTTCTGAGTTACAGATTAGACATGTTTTAAATTGTCATATATACAAGTCTTATATCAAAATTAAATATAATTATTAGCATTTACTTAATTTCAATTTTATTTATTACCTATGTATCCATTTTTAGTTATAAAGGGTAACAAGTGATGATTTTTGAACGTTAAATTTTAAAAGGGGCGGCAAATTATGGTTTGCACACGGGCGGCCGAATAGCTTGGCTCGGCCCTGTTGTTAAATATGTAGATAACATGGAGGAAGAAGCATCATATGGAGCTTAAATCCATGCTAGGTAAATAGAGTTTTTTTATTGAATAAATAAAAACACATTACAGTTGTTATTTTGCTAAAAAAATATGTTTTATTTAATATTTATTTACAATATATTCATTGTATTTTTAATTATTCTAATCCAAATTCTAAAGGCGTAGGTATACCTTCGGTTTTTTACCAATGAACTGAAGGGGGTAGAATGCCAATATGCATGATGTTGTATTAATAGAACTAGGTGCGACTCTATGGGCGCAGCCATTTTCATTGTTCATCTCACTCGAGATTATTTATAATAAAACCATTTTTGTTTCACATTGTTATTGTCCAGTCCACAAGCTGGTGGATCAGACAATAACAATGTGAAATAGAAAATAGTAATTATAAATACTCCCGAGTGAAATGAAAAATAACCTGTCTGCGTCTATAGAGTCGCATCTCAAGTCTATTGACAAGCATTCTACCCCACTCCAGTTCATTGTTTTTTACCAAAAAAATAGCAATTGTCTACTTTAGTTATAACATTTTCTAACATCACAGTATCAAAACCTCTAAAGAGAGGTTAAAAATAATAAACAATTTAGTTTCAAGCAAACGCAAAAAACACTACCAAAACGGGTACCAACACAACAAAAACCGCGTAAACCGCCGTCCTGGGTTCGCATTCCGACACAACCACGTATTCCTCGTTCCACAACGACTCGTTTTGTACCACAGGCAACTCCAAGACCAATTTCTCCGAGGAAAAGAAGTCCAAATCTATTACGCAACTATCAGACGTATTGACGCACTCTGCAACCGGATTGGACACGTTGTAGACGGTCTTCTCGATATCGAACTGGACACGGACGAAGTTCGTTTGGACTTCGTTTTCGCTGTTGAACACGAAGAAGTAGTATCCGTTTACTGGTACTCTGAAAATTACAAAAATGAATGTTTGACTGGCGCAAAAGTCCTAATGTTGACAACTCCTAAAAGGACATCTCATAAAAGGACAACTTATAAAAGGACAACTCATAAAAGTACAATAATTCATAAAAGGCCAACTCATAAAATAACTTATAAACGGAAAACTAAAATAAGGAAAATTATCTAAAAGGACAACTCGTATAAAGACAACTCATAAAAAGCACCATTCATAAAAGAATACCTCATGTAAGGACAACTCATAAAACGACACTTCATAAAAGAACAACTCATAAAAGAGCAACTCATAAAAAGTATAAACTTGAAATACAAACAAAGGTTTTAAAATAATTAAATTTTCTGGACGAAGATGTTTGAAAAATTATTCAGACAACATTATTTTGTAAATAATAGTCCATTTGAACCAATTATTTAAAAATTTTTGGACGGCGTTTAGGTGTTTCAAAAATTAGTCGAAGAACATTATGTTGTACATATTAGGTCTTTTCCTTTGCATCGAAAGTGTAGCACTGAGCTACACCACTTCTGAAAATATCGTTCCATTTATACAAATTGTATAGTTATACTCAAATTAACAGATGATACGTTTGAACTAATCTCTGAAAATTAGGCCGTCGGTTTTAAATGTCATATTAAATTGCTCTTAGAACGTTTCTTTTGAATAGAAAATATATCTGGTTGAATTTTAGAATGGTACATTTGAACTACTCATTTAAAATTTTCTAAACGAAATATTTCAAAAATTACTCAGAGAAAATGTTTTTCTAAATATTTAATATTATTGTCCAAATGTAAGGATCGTGCATTTAAACTACTATATCTCAAAATTAAGCCGGCAGCATTTAAATGTCACATAAAATTGTTCTTGGAACATTTTTTGAATACAAAAGATATCTAGTTGAATTTACGAATGGTTCATATTGAACTATTCATTTAAAATTTTCTAGACAGCGCTTAGATTTTTTTAAAAATTACTCAAAGAACATTATTTTGTAAGTATTAAGGCCCGTATTTATAAACAGAACTTACGTGAGTCGGACTTGGGTAAGTCGTCCTTGAACTAAAATCGAAGTTCGGTTACAACGTCTCTAAAGTTCTAGGTGGTTCCGGTGTTACACTGGAATTTAGAGATGGATATTAGCAAATATGTAACTGTTATGTACATTTACGGATTTGTTACTACCCATCTCTAAATTCACGCGATATAACCGAACTTCGATTTTCGTTCAAGGACGACTTACCCAAGTCCGACTCAGCTGAGTTTTGTTTATAAATACGGGCATAAGTGTCGTTACTCAAATGTACGGATGGTACATTTGAACTACTCTCTTAAAATTAAGCTGGCAGTTTTTAAATATTACATAAAACTGCTCTTAGAACATTTATTTTGAATAATAAATATATATCTGTATACCTATTCTCTAACTCATGGGAGCACTCTGCCATACTCCCATGCTCCCATACTCCCATGCCAACGTTGCCAAGTCGACAGAATAACTTTGATCTACTATTTAAGAGCCGATTCCACCGTTGTGTTAAACGGAGATTAAAGTGACATTGTTTATGTAAAAATGTCATTTTAAACTTCGTTTAACACAACGGTGGAATCGGTCCTAAATAGTTCAAATTTCCTTTGTGATAAATACGGACCTAAATCTGGCAAGCCCGCAATTCTCCCTCGCATGGTATAAAATCTGACCTTACTACGCATGTAAGTACCTGGGCTAAAAGTGAGTAAGCACGATATACCCATCTAAGAGTAAGAGAGTAAAATATATGGGAGCACTCCCATGGGACCGCTCCCATGACTTAGTGAATAGCTATCCTGGTTGAATTTACGAATAGTACCTACATTTGAACTACTCCTTTAAAATTTTCTGGATACTCGAAACATTTTTTTGTAAAGATTAAGTGGGATTACTTAAATGAACACTTGGTACTCTTAAAATAAAGCCAGAAATGTTTAAATGTCGCATAAAATTGTTCTTAGAACATTTTTTTTTAAGAAAAAAAAATATTTATATATATTTGGTTAAATTTACGAATGGTACATTTGAATTAGTCATAGAAAATGTTTTTGTAAATTGTATTAAGTGCGATTACTTACTTGTAAGTGATTGTGTTATCCCGATAACTCTCTTCGTCCGTGATATCTTGAACGCATTTTCTGTGCGGCATCAAGGGCAGGCTCAGTATCAAACCTGCGCAATTCAACAGAGCTTCTTCTGAGCTAGAGAAAGACGACCAAAATTCGCTGTTACTCATGTCGTTTAATGATGTCTCGTTGAAAGTTCCTCTGTGGTCGGCGATACCATCGGGATGGAAGCCCTAAAACACAAAACAAAGGGGCTTATATTGAAAAAAAAAGTTACGAGACAATAAATCAGTAAGATAGACGCCAGTAGATCATGCATAGGATAGTTGTAATAGTGTATAATCCTTGGATAGTTATATCACATTATCCTAATAACATATGAGTTACATTAATAAATCTTACCCCGGTGGACGGAATAGGAGAGCATTATACCACTTTGGTTATATATCCATCAATTTATTCGGTTAGAAAACCTTAAGGATGCATCTGGAGACACAAAGCAGAGGAGCTGAAGAAAACGCAGAACCTTTAATTTCTGTCAAGACGAAGAACTCGACGAGTGGGAGGCAGAGGTGCTATTGGCAGTAGCATTGCCAAAAGGATCTAAACCTATATAAACTTAGGCCCTTTTAGTAATTATACTGCGCATGTTTTTTATTGTAAATGACAACTAAATGACATTTTACATTGAATGCCGTTTTGTCCCTTTCAAATCGACCTAGTAATAACGAAGATAATACGCTGATATACTTTTGACAATGATACTTTGCATTACATCTCTGTTTCCTCTTCGTCGAGTTGTCTGTCATAAAAGACCTCGATGGTTCTACATTGCTTCTTTAACACATCTATGAGTCTCTAGAAGCTTATTTAACATCTATCCTGGACCTACGTTACTCCTTTAGCTCCTCATCTTCGTCTTCGAGTCTCCAGATACTCCTTCAACGTCTCCCAACCGAAGAACTCTATTATAATATGTTAAGTGGTCTGATGTCCTCCTATTCCATTTACTTACCTCTTCAATAGCCAAATCATTCTCCTCATCGTCTTCGTTATTAGCCAGAGCAGTAGCCAGTATCAAATCTCTTTTTCTGCGTCTAAGCTGATCTATTTCATCACCAAAGGCCACAGCAGGTTTGGAATAATGTCTGGCTTTGATATCTAAGACTGCATCTTTCGAAATGTTATTCTTGTTATCCTTATATTTCTCGTTTACTTGTTCCAGAACTTTCGAACCTTTGTGTCCCATCTTTCTCAGCGTTTCCAATATGTCGCCCAAAGCTTCTTCTGAAGACGTTTGCGTTTTCGGTGTATCGATTTTGAAATTTCTTTTTTCTCCTAGAGCTATAGAGGTATTGCGATGTACGTGGTTGTTTCTTTGGAAGTGTTTACTTTTGTAAGCGTTAGTTCTTTCTCGAAGCGCTTGCAGAATTTTATTCATATCTTTCATATCTGTGGAATCAAAAATTAAGTTAGGATTCGCCACGTTGGACGGCAAAAAACAGGACACCTCCATGAGCGAATGGAGTACAAATAGTTACCCGTGATCTCAGAAATATCCAAGTTCTGCCCCGGCTCTTTCTGAGTACTATTCTGATGCAAAGGACTGTGAAACTGGACGCCGGGTTCGTGTCGCCTCATGTTTTCCGGATTATTGGCCGGTTGATCGACTTTTCTTTCATCTGATTCGAAGTATACGTTCTCTCTTATCGCCGCCATTTGTTCCTCCAACTCCTCGGATGAGTTGTCTCCGATGTAGGCGCATTCGTGCAGATGTTTGTGGCCTCTGATCATGATGAGGGACGCGCCAGGCCATCTGAAAGGTGGATAAGGTTTTTTTGGTTCGTGTATATAAAGGATATACATATAATAAATAAGGGATCAACTAGCTCTAAACTGTTTATAATAATGATAGATTATAACATTTAAAGGAAACAACAATTTAAGTATAATATTGACCTTACACATGTTGATACTGTAACGGAAGTCCCTTTCAGCAAATAGAAACCCCAATACTCCTTGGTGTCGTCTTCCAGCATCAGCTCGCGTACCATAGTCAGAGGTTTTCTTTCCGTGGATAATTGAGGAATGTTGGATAACAAAAAAGCATTAAAAGTGGTGTTAACTGTAACACGTTGTTTCTGAAAACGAATAAAAGTTAGCTTAATCGCGTCTCCAAATGAATGAGTGTTATTAAAAAGCAGTTATACAATTTGGCACTTATTGGGCACATATTTATTCTACATAATACATTTCATAACGGCTTCTAGAAAAAATATGGTTTTGACTCACCTGACACCAAGTTGTCGATACCTTGTTATCAATCATCCTCATGTCTGACATGGCCAGAGGATATAACTGGTTGTTGTAAACGCGGTATCTCAAATACAGTGGTATACTGATCAACAGACATGGCACGGCTATGCCCAGGACGAAAAGTTTGATTACTTTAATGGGGAGCACCCAGGGATTGGCAGAGGTTCTTCGTTGATATAGACTTGAGTTTTGTAATGATGGGAATTCTAAAAGAATAGATTACTTATTAAACCAGAGCGTCGTTAATTTAACAGGTGTTGAAAATAAATAATAATAATCATATAAATCAAAATTTCCTAGGTTTATTCGGTCATGCAAATTTTTATCTACATAAAATTCTGCCCACCTCAGGAAATTATCCTTATTCAAATAATAATCATGTGTCATAATTTAATCTATATAAGTTTTATATCAATGGTGACGTATGTCAAAACTTTACTTGTCAATAGGCATTCCAACGACCTATCAAAATGTTGCCCGTGTACAGATTTTTATCATTATGTCGAAACTACTGGTAACGTTGTAATGCAATTTTATACAAATATGTTTTGGAAGCTGAGACATTGCATAAATTTGTTTTATATCTGCCTCTCATCTAGGGCGCACGTCCTTTAACGATCTTTAATGTTCTTTAATGTTCTTTAATGTTCTTTAATGTTCTTTAATGTTCTTTAATGTTCTTTAATGTTCTTTAATGTTCTTTAATGTTCTTTAATGTTCTTTATTGTTCTTTAATGTTCTTTAATGTTCTTTAATGTTCTTTAATGTTCTTTAATGTTCTTTAATGTTCTTTAATGTTCTTTAATGTTCTTTAATGTTCTTTAATGTTCTTTAATGTTCATTAATGTTCTTTAATGTTCTTTAATGTTCTTTAATGTTCTTTAATGTTCTTTAATGTTCTTTAATGTTCTTTAATGTTCTTTAATGTTCTTTAATGTTCTTTAATGTTCTTTAATGTTCTTTAATGTTCTTTAATGTTCTTTAATGTTCTTTAATGTTCTTTAATGTTCTTTAATGTTCTTTAATGTTCTTTAATGTTCTTTAATGTTCTTTAATGTTCTTTAATGTTCTTTAATGTTCTTTAATGTTCTTTAATGTTCTTTAATGTTCTTTAATGTTCTTTAATGTTCTTTAATGTTCTTTAATGTTCTTTAATGTTCTTTAATGTTCTTTAATGTTCTTTAATGTTCTTTAATGTTCTTTAATGTTCTTTAATGTTCTTTAATGTTCTTTAATGTTCTTTAATGTTCTTTAATGTTCTTTAATGTTCTTTAATGTTCTTTAATGTTCTTTAATGTTCTTTAATGTTCTTTAATGTTCTTTAATGTTCTTTAATGTTCTTTAATGTTCTTTAATGTTCTTTAATGTTCTTTAATGTTCTTTAATGTTCTTTAATGTTCTTTAATGTTCTTTAATGTTCTTTAATGTTCTTTAATGTTCTTTAATGTTCTTTAATGTTCTTTAATGTTCTTTAATGTTCTTTAATGTTCTTTAATGTTCTTTAATGTTCTTTAATGTTCTTTAATGTTCTTTAATGTTCTTTAATGTTCTTTCTTTAATGTTGTAAATTCGCGAACACAGAGACCAATTTTTATTTTCTACCCCGCCCTTCCATGTTTTCGATTAGACCGCTTTCTACTTTTCACTTTACATCTAAGTCAAAAGGTTACTTTACATCTAAGTTAAAAAATAGTTAAATGAATTGCGAGATTAAAATGCCATTGACTCAATATTTCGACAGAGTTACGACGTATTTTAGAGGTCAAAATAAGTCGACTGGACCCAATTTATATGGCGCTAGTTATCTTCGTTTTCCTTCAAGAAATTTGCCATAATTAGTAGGACTTAATTCGTGTCGAAACATGTTATTCTTGCACGACCGTGTATCACCTCACTTGGCTCGTTCCGTAAGAGAATATCTTAATGAACAATTTGATGGTATATGGCTTGGTAGGGGACAAGAAGCACCCATTCAGTAGCCTCTACAGTCTTCAGATTTAAATCCATGCGAGTTCTTCATCTGGGGAGTGTTAAAAACACAATTGTGCGAGGTTAAAATTAATAATTCCGAACAACTGTGGAACTCATTACGAAGGAAATTTAAAAAAAATACTAAAGGGTGAGAATGGTTTTAACCCTTCTACAATTTAATTTGGGTTTCTTTGATTACTGAAATAGAGTAATCCTATAATATGTAATTTTGAAAAATGTTATTAATTTTGTTTCACGCCTTTCTGAACAACGTAGAAAAATGTGATTATTTTAGTAAACTTTGAACTTTTCTCTTTTCTCCACGGATGGACTTGTAACAATATTTATTTTAAATTTTGATATAGGAACATGAACCCTTAAAAGGCCTAGCTACCGAGGTTCATGGTGATGTAAATTTTAAATCAAAACTTAAAATTAGTCTGAAACTAAAAACGTCTTTTAATAATTTTTTCAAATTTGATCTGCAAAGATCTCAAATACACGAACTATTAAAAATTCATCACGTGTCTGTTAGATTAGAATTTAGAAATATTGAGTGTTTACAAATTATCTATTCACATGCAGACTTTTCTTTAAACGCAAATTTTTACAATACCGTTCATTTGTAGCTCCCTTAGATTAAAGAGACCGAAGATGTAACATTGCACACTGCGCATGTTGTCTATTTTAAGCCAAAGTAACCCACCAATTGAAAATCATTGTTGCACGACGCCACCCGAATTGCTCCGATTTCCATTCAGCGATCACCTCCACCTGAGTTTAATCACCATTGACAGCTGTTTTTTGATTTATTTGTTGGTATTTTAGCAATTTAAAGTGTTCTAGTTATTCAATTTCAAGTTCAAAATGTCACGATGTATCTTGAAAAATTGTATGTACTTATAATACAAGTACTACTGTTATGAATATATTCGTTTTCAGCTGTAAATATTAATTAACGTTTTGACATAAAGCGCCATGATTCTCTGGGCTGAATACTTCAGATCCGCATTAAGGGGTTTCAATAAATATTAAGCATCAGAAATCAGATTTCATATTACTTACATAAATTTACAAAAGGGTAAAATTTTGAACATTTAATTTAAATAAATAGTAAATAGGCATTATTGCTAACGAAATTTTGTATTTAAAAAGTAGTTTTATAAGAATGTTTTCTAAAGGTAGTTTTTAGCCCTTTTTGGTACATAAATAAGAGGTAAAGAATCATAGTTGCTAGCTAAATTTTATTTTTATAAGGTATTTTTATAAGAATATTAGATGAAATACAGGATGACCTACTTAAAATTTCAAGGTTCATCTTATTTGCGGTCAAATCGAAAGTGACATTGAATTTTCAGTCTTAAAACAAAGTAATCTAGTATAAGCAAAAAAATACTAAAGTTACAGGAGTTAGGTCCGATACCACCGTTGTGTTAAACGGAGATTAAAATGACAGTGTTAATGTAAAAATGTCATTTTAAACTTCGTTTAACACAACGGTGGAATCGACCCTTAGTCACGTTAATAAAATGTTACATTACAAACCCCTAAACAACTCGAACATAATTTTCGTTTACTAAAAAAAATCAAAAATTTAGCAATATTTATTTATTATACAATCGAATGCGATTTCAAAGATAACTGGATCAAAAAATCCGAATCTCTAAATTTTGGAGCTAAATGCTCAGATAAAAGCAAGCGACCGATAGGGGTTACAAAAATAATCGATTTATCGATAATTCTGATATTTTTTAATGAAAATCGATTTATCCGCTGTTTTTAATAAATTATTTTCGTTTTTTTTTTTAAGATAATGTATTAATCGATTTTAAAGGATATACAAAAAAAGTAGATTTATTCAAAATAATCGATTTATCGTTTAATCGATTTATCTTTTAATCGGTTTTTTAATTATTTGATTATTTTCGATTTTTCAAAGATATATGAAAATAATCGATTGAATATAATCGGTTATTTTACATAATCGATATTTTTGTTATTTTTTTAAAATTTATTGGATAATCAGCTTTTTAATAATCAATTATTTTCGATAATCAAATAATCAATTTCAAAGGAAATATGAAAAAAGGATTATTAGAAAATAATAGATAATTCGTTTTATTTTTTGGAAAATCGATTTATCATAGAATCGGCTTCTTAATTAATTGGTTATTTTCGATTAGGCGATTATTTTGGAATTATTGATTATTTTTGGTATTTCAAAGATAATCGAATTATCGATTTTAAATGAAATACAATAAAAATAGATTATTGATAATAATCGATTGATCGAAAATAATCGATCATTCTGTTTTTTTTTGAAAATCGATTTGTCAGTTAATCGACTTTTTAATTAATCGATTGTTTTTGAAATACAATAAAATAGATTATTGGTAATAATCGATTTATCATAGAATCGGCTTCTTAATTAATTGATTATTTTAGATTAGGCGATTATTTTGGAATTATCGATTATTTTCGGTATTTCAAAGGTAAGCGAATTAACGATTTTAAAGGAAATACAATAAAAATAGATTATTGATAATAATCGATTGATCGAAAATAATCAATTATTTAAAATAATCGATCATTCTGTTTTTTTTTAAATCGATTTATCAGTTAATCGACTTTTTAATTAATTGATTATTTTTGATTAATCGATTATTTCCGATTTTTCAAAGATTATCGAATAATCTGTTTCCATGGACGAAAAAAAAATGGTTTATTTGAAAATAATCGATTATTTAAAATAAACGATAATTCTATTTATATTATATTTTGTAAACACTGATTTATCGGTTAATAGAGGACTTCTATACAAGGGAAGTGCAACCAACTTGACAAAATAAAATTGACACTAATGACATAAGAAATCGGGTCACATAAAGAGGCTGTTTTTTAGTTTAATTTTTGGTTTTTCCTATCTACTTTCATGCCATTTGCATACCTTGTTGTACCCGTAACGTGAAAAAGACTTTTTATTTTAGGGTATTTTACATTTAAAGGTTGAAAACATTTGTCAATATCAGCTGTCGATAATGTCAAAACATAAGCGCAGCATTGCATTTTATTTTTTGTTGTTATTAGTTTAAATGTGTTTCTCCTGCTTTCTTGAAACATTATTTTTCATTTGGTTTTATTTATTTATGTCGATTGAAAAATGCTGCTGCTACGAATACCAGTTCTATAAAATATACAACCAACATACAATACTAATTACGTTATGCCCATCTAT